TTTTAATACAGTGCTTGGGATTGAACCCATTATACAAGTACATTTGTCCTTGATTCTATTGATATGAGGTATTACCTTAATTGATTTGAGGGATGCTAAGCCAGCCTTGCATTCCTGGGATAAGTTCCTCTTCATTATGGTTTATAATCCGTTTTTTTTTAATCTTGTTGGAATTGGTTTTCTAGTATTTTGTGGGGCATATTATGTCTCTAGTCATAAGAAATATTCATCCATAGTTTTCTGATATCTTAGTCTGGTTTTGGTATCAGTGTAATACTGGTCCTGCAGGATAAGTTGAGAAGTGTTCCCTTTTATTTCACAACAATTTTTAAAATATCTTTTTAAACCAAAAACCTTCATTTTGAAAATAATACTTAGTTATATGATATAATGGACTGGCATGGTGGTGCATGCTGGTAATCCCAGAAACTTGGGAGGCTGAGGTAAGAGGCTTTCAAGTTCAAGGGCAGCCTCAGCAACTTAGTGAGACTGTCTCAAAATCAAAAGTCAAAAGTTCTGGGGATGTAGCTCAGTGGTAGAATGTCCCTGGGTTCAATCCCTATACTCAAAAAAAAAAAAAAAATGTGTGTGTGTGGGGAGGGAGGGAACAGACTCCATATAAGAAAGAAAAAAAGAAACTAGATATTTTAATAAAATTAACAAGGTATATCCAACATCTAAATGAAGACAGGGAAAACACTCCTGGAGGACACAAAACTTGGTTTGAACTAACAGGAAGCTAAGTCATGCTCCTGGACAGGAAAATCCATCTTGTAAAGGGATCAATACTTCTAAGCTAATTTATAAACATGACGTGACCCTCCTCTAACATCCAACCTTTCCTTTCTATCTGAATTTGTTTGGGGCTGCCTGATTTTTATTTTTATCAGTTCATCAAATGTTTGTCAGACAGAAAACAGAAGAGTGAGCCCCTAAAGGAAGGAACCGAGCTGGCTGCCCCAAACCTTCACCTCTATCTTCAACAGTTCYCGACAGTCCAGAAAAATAAGACTCCAGAACTAGCAGAGAACAGACACATCCAAGCGAAGCTGCTGTAAGAATCCGAAATGAAAAACAAACTATTTTTGCTGAAGGAAATTCTCACAAGAACCAAACATGCAGATCAAAAATCTAACCCAGGGGGGCTGAGGTCATGGCTCAGTGGTAGAGCACTTGCCTAGCATGTGAGAAGCACAGGGTTCAATTCTCAGCACCACATACAGATAAAAAAAGATCCATTGACAAATAAAAAAATATTAAAAAACAAACCTAGAAACAACAAATTGTGCTTATCAACAAAGGATAACTTTAAAAAGAAATCTAACACAGGGGCTGGGGTTGTGGYTCATGTTAGAATGCTCGCCTAAGCATGCGTGAGGCACTGGGTCCGATCCTCAGTACCACATAAATATAAAATAAAGATATTGTGTCCACCCAAAACTAAAAAATGAAAATTTTTAAAAAATGTAACACAGGACTGGGGCGTGGCTCAGTACAGCACACTCCCTTGGCGCACAAGGTCCTGTGCTCCATAACCAATGCCACAAAAGACAGACAGATAACACCCAACTTGAGAAAAATTAGCTCAGCAAAGTCCACAGGTATGAAAGTTTCAAATACAAAACTGAAAAACTTAAAACAGAAGTGGACCCAAAAGAACCAAGAAGATGTAAAATGGGACTCTAACTGAACCTCAGGAAAGAAAGAGAAAAATAGGAAGACAGCCAAAGAAATATCAGAAACCAAGAGGCTAAAGGAGGCGGGCTGCGGATACAGCTGGTAGAGCGCTCACCTCGAACCCACAAGGCTCTGGGTCCCTGGGTTCAATCCCCAGCACCACAAAAAAAAAAAAAAAAAAAAGGTAGGGGCTGGGGCTCAGCAGTAGAGAAACATCAGTTTCCCATGTGCAGGGGCTGGAGGGGTGCACTTGTAAGAAGGGAGTGTGACAGCCACGGGCAGCTGCACCCTCCCCACTGCCCTGGCCTTCCTTCCGCTCTAGCACCTGCTGGCCTCCTGCCCCCTTCAGCTCTGGCTGGCACCTCCCTCTGCCTGGAACACTCTGCCCGTAGGACAGTCCCCTTCATGGGAACACTTCTGTCCCCCACTGTGACCACCTGGAGTTCTTCTGTCTTGGATGCTGGCACGTGGGGACACTCACTTTGTGCAAATGAAATTTGTCTCTGTGCACTTCACCTTCCATAAACCTGAGCCAAGTGTGGTGGTGCACACCTATAGTCTGCTACTCAGGAGGCTGAGGCAAGAGGATTGCAAGTTGGAGGCCAGCCATGACAGCTTGACAAGGCCCTAAAGACTTAGCAAGACCCTGTCTCAAAATAAAGCATAAGGGCTGGGGTTGTGGCTCAGTGGTTGAACGCTTGCCTGGGTTCCAGCCTCAGCAGAACACAAAAATAAATAAATACATTAAATAAAGGTATTATGTCCACCTACAACTAAGAATATTTTAAAATAAAACAAAACATTAAAAAGGGGGCGGGGCTGAGGCTGTGGCTTAGTGGTTAAGCAACCCTGGGTTCAATCCCTGGTATCAAAAAAAAAAAAAAAAGCGGGGGGGGGGCTGAGGATGTAGCTGGTGGAAGGGCGAGTCCTCAGTCCTGCAAACACAAGGGGAGGGGAAAAGCCAGGAGGAGGCGCCTCCCTGGCACTCTCTTCACAGCACTCGGGCTCGGGCCTCTTGCTGATCCTCCCCGGGGCGTTCTAGTTCCTGCACACTCTCTCACACTAGACAGGACAGCAGGGACATACCTGCACTGTGAATGCTGCCGGCTGCCCGCATTAGAGCAGGGCATGGCACACAGCAGGTGCTTAATAAGGGCTTAACAAGTTTCTGTGCKCCCTGTGCATCCTGTGACCCCGGGCTGGGGGCGGGGTGCCGGCCGCCGCCTCACCTTCTTCTGCATCTTCTCCAGCAGCTTGCTCTTGGCCCTCACTTCCTCTTGGATGGAGTCGTAGACGTTGAGCAGCACCCAGTCCCCGCTGTCCTCGTCCGAGTTCTGCAGCGCCGCCACCAGCTGCTTTTTGCGCTCGTCCGCGTACCGCTTCCGCCGCTTGTGCTTCTCCTTCAGGTCCTTGTTCTTGGCCTGCTCCCCGCCCACCACCTGCTGCTCCAGCAACTGCAGGCTGCCAGCACCGAGGAGAAAGCAAACGTGGCAGAAGTTGCCCATGAGGGAGCCTCTGCCATGGGACAGCTCTGCCTGGGCCGACCTCACCACGTCCTTCCCACAGCCCCAGGGCCCAGAGAGAGCACGGGGCACCAGCCGCTGGTTGCTCAGGCACCAGAGCTCCTTCCACATCCACCTAACTTCAAGCCTGAGCACTTGGCCACAGGAGGGGCGGGAGTCTTCCCATGGTCTCAGAGGTACCCCAGGCCCCCTGCCCTGATGCTGCCAGGCCCTTTAAGAGCAGAAATGTTGGCTGGCACAGCGGCGCAGCCTGCAATCCCAGCAACTCCGAAGGCTGAGGCAAGAGGATCACAAGTTCAAGACCGGCCTCAAGGCCCTGTCTCAAAATTAAAAAATATATATAAACGTCTGGGAATGTGGCTCAGTGGTAGAGCGCCCCAGGCTCAATCTCTGGTGCCAAAAAAAAAAAAAAAAAAAAAAAAGAAGAAGAAGAAAAGAAAAGAAAAAAGGACAAATGTTAAATAACCACAGAGGCCCACGGGCTCTCCACTGTCTAAGCACCACAGAAACATTTTAGGCCCTGCCTCCTTCCAAAGGGGTGGAAGGCCAGGGAACAAGAGGTATCAGAGGGTTCCTGGAACGGTGTGTGTGTGTGTGTGTGTGTGTGTGTGTGTGAAGGAGGGGGAGAAAGGAACTCAGGGCAGCCAGGCCCTGGGGTGGCTGTGTCCTCTAGGTTCCCTGGCAGCAGGACAGAAGGGGACCATGTCCAAGCCCCTCTTCTGCTAAAAGTCCTTCTGGGACCCCATGAGGATGAAGAACCCACCTAGGGACACCAGGGCCCCTCTTTCTTTCTCCTTACACACCCCAGGCTCCCTCCAGCTTGTGGCTGAGCTCCTCCCAGCAGTTTGCCAGCCCACACGCAGATCGTCACCCGGGCATGTGGCTGGCACACCCTGCTCAGGAGTCCCCCTCTGTGAAGCCTTCCCTGACCTTCACTCCAAACCCCACTGTGACAACAGCCACAAGGGACACCGGGGGCCTCCTCTGGATGCTGCCTTGTTTACCCTCACTGGCTCCTCAGGCTGCGGCCAATGAGGTCACCTGTTCTACAGATGAGAAGCCTGGCCCCAGGGAGGTTGAAAGTCTGCCTGAAGGGGCAGGAGGCGGCAGGGAGCCCAGGCAGTGGGGCTGTGGTCCCATTAGCTTCTCTCTGCCCAGCTGTAGGCACAGGTCCAGAGCCTGGATGTCTAGCGCCCCCGGAAGGGAGGTCCCTGCAGACCCAGCAGCACCCTATTCTGGGTGCCTCTTGGTGCTCAGAGCTCAGATCCTGCTTGAACTGTGGTGCGGACATCAGGAGGAAGTTGAGCCTGGCCCACTGTCCTGGAGCTGGGCTAATGGGATCCCCATCAGCAGAAGTGAGTGATGGGCTCAGGACAGTGACTTTGACAAAGCCATGAAGTAACTGAAGAAAGCCCAGCTCTCCAGGAGGTCCCAGGGGCCCTGGGGTGGCTTGTTCCCAAGGCAGGTGAGTCCCACATCATGGAGGGCAGTGGAGGCCAGCCAGAGGAACTGGGGACTCAGCTAGGACCCAGAGAGAGCCAGGCTCGGGAGGCTGGGCCACCATGGCCCCTTTACTTCTCCCTAGGGCTGCTGCTCCCCAGCAGGTGCCTGACCAGAACCTGGGGGCAGCCAACATAGCTCAGTGCGGAGGCCTGCCTGCCCAGCCAGCTGTGGCACCCCGACACCTTGACACCTCAGCCCAGTGGAGGGAGAGCAGGGCGCAGATCAGTGGATACGGGGAGAAGCTCTTGGGCACACCCCACCCACCCCAGACCAGCCCCTGCTCCTTCCCGCCCTCCTGTGGGGTCCCCTGCCTGAGCAGCAGTGCTTACCGGGCCAGCACCTTCTGCTGATCCAGCAGCTCCTCAGTCAGCACAGCCACCTCCACACCCACGTTCTCCTTTCTCAAGCTCCCCACAGGATGCAGGGGCTGAGGCTGGGTCCCCTGGGCCGCCTCAGCCTCAGCCTCCATCCAAGAGCCAGGCTSTGCTGTGGACTCCACCTCATTTGTCACCTCTGTGACTAGATCCACTTCCTGAACACAGGGAGAAATCAAGATGGGGTTGGAAGGCCTCCCTAGAGGCAAGTTTGCAGGTTCCCAATAAGGGACACCACCACCCCACCCCCCCGCCAAGGTTTGGGACAGATCACCTCTGGCTCAGAGACACAGGCTGAGCATCCCTGATCCAAACATAAAACCCCAGAATGCTCCAAAATCTAAAAATGTTTTGAGTTTAATAATGCTCAAAGTTTCAGATATCAGAACATTTTAGGTTTCGATTTTCAGATAAGGGATGTTCAACTGTTAAAGTTTATAGAAACATCCCCAAATGCGAAAAACTGCAAAATCTGAAACACTTCTGGTCCTAAGCATTTCTGATAGGGTAGGGGATATTCAACCTATACCCAGTTATAAAAATATTGTACCTAAATGAAATTTTACTGACACATCAGCACCCCCAAAACGGTTCCAGCTTTCTGTCTTACCCCCAACAATTCAGTCTCTACACGGCAACCAGGGCAATTTCTAAAGAATATAAACTGATCACAATGTCCCTTTCCTGACAGGAACCCTTCATGGCTTCCTGTCGAGTTAATTCACAGGAAAATCCAGTTTCCAACATGGCTGCTATATCCATAGCACTACCCCWACCCGTCATCCTGCCCACCCTTCGACCACCCCAGCACTATTTTGTATTACTACGAAAGTCAAGGGCTTCCCAGTGACAGGACTTGGTACTTGTTGCTCTTCCTGGCCCCTTCCTTCATGCCTGGGTYCCCCCCTCAATGTTACCTCCTAGCCAGGATTTCCAGTCACTCTACCACCTACTGAGCCAGCTGTATACCAGCCTCACCCAGTGCTCAAGGGCACAGCCCACTGTCAGCATCCTCCATGAGAGTGGGTAAGGTAAAGGTTTCCTGGCAGCCCCCCCCAGGTGGCTCTGCTGTCTTAAGCAGAAGAGAAAGGGCAGGTTCAAACTGGGTTCCACGGCCCTGGAGGGGTTCCTGATGGTGCTCAGGGGCTACCAGCCCTGACCCAGTGCACACAGAGAAGCTGAGGAATTCTCAAAGTCTCCTTTACATCAACCAAAAGCAGTGCTTCCTCTGATTTGGATACTGCTTGGTCTCGGGAGGTGGATGATAGTCCCTGTCTCATGCAAGAGGAGACCAAGGCCCAGGGAGGGAGGGGACAAGCCTGCGTTTCACAGAAAGCTGAAKGGAGCCCCAGCACGTCACGCAGAGGGCCAGGGAGATACTCACGGTGCTGAGTGGGAGGTCACTGGATACTTCTGCTTCCGAACTGGTGTCACTGGGCTCCAGCAGTTCTGGTGGGGAGGGGTGCTCCAGGGAGAAAAGGGTGGGAGGAAGAGGGATGGTTTGGGCCAGAACCACCCTCTACTCCCCCACTGCTCCCCAGGGCTGCTCCCSCTCCCACAGCCGCCTCTGCCTGTCTGCAGAGAGAAGGGCCCAAGGGGTGGAGACAAGAGCAGAGAAGACAGGGCCTGTGCCCTCCACGATCTCATGCCAAACACCCAGCACCCCATTTTCTAGAGGAGGAATCCGAGGTCTGGAGAGGCAAAGGTCCTAGGTCACATAACTGAGGGAGTGTGGGCCTGGGATTTCGAGGACCTGAGCTCATTCTCTCTCTCTCTTAGGAAAGGGGAGCAGAGACTCAGCAGGAGTGAAGAAGAACATTTTTTCAAAACATAAAAAGGAGGGTTGAGGAGGGAAAGGACCACGACAGAGGATCAGGAAGGGGAGAGCAGGGTCCAGGCCCCGGGGGTCAACACTCCCCCATCCAGTGTGCTGCCCTGAGCCTGCGGGCACATGAGGGTGGACCAGGCCACCAGGTCTCTCAGGCCCACCCTCAGCAGGGTCCCTGGGCAGGTGCCCTCCTCACCAGACAGGCATCTACCTGGATAACCTGCACCTCCGTCCCCACCTTCCTACTGGCCTGTGGACCCTGGTGCCCCCGGCCAGCCCCCGATGCTGGAGGCCCAGCAGAGGCACTGCCACAGCAGCAGGTCAGCCAGGGTTGCCTGCTCAGTTTTTGTGGGCCTCATGCATTATATCAGCTACCTGCTCGGGGACCTGGGGTGCGCCTGGCTGGGGTACGTCTATCCTGGCCACAGTGGAGGACAGTCTGGCCAGCTTGAGCTCCACCTCGGCGAACGGGTCCTGCAGGCTTGGCAACAGCTGCAGCATGGACAGTCCCTCCCCCTGGACAGCGCTCTCTTCCTCCAGCGGGGACCCAGCAGCCGCCTGGCCGAGATAGTCATCCAGGAAGTACTTGTCCCGGGGCTCCTCCTCGGGCACAGAGAACTCTCCATTGGAGAACTCCTCGGCACCAGGTAAGGCCTCAGACATGGAGGAGTCCAGCGGGGATGACTCCGATGCCCAGGAAACCTCACACTTAGACGGCTCCTGGGGCATGGAGAAGACCTCGGGCTTTGCCGCCAGCTCGTACTGGAACGCTGGTGGCTGCTCKGTCGTGTTGGCAAACTCGGCCCTGGATATGACCTCGGCCTTGYAGAGGACTTCTGCCTTCAGGACAGCCTCTGCAAAGAAGGAGAGCGTCCTGCAGCTTTCTACAGGGGAAGGGGGAGGGGTCCGCCCCCAGGAAGGCGGCCCACGCCCTTGTTTCCAGGAAGCCAGCTGACCAGAGCCTCCCGTCCATCCCTGCCCCATGTCCTCTCTCCATCATAATTCAAACCCAGCCTCCCTCCTCCTCCTCCAGGAAGCCATTGCTGACCAGCACCATGCCCTCTCTGCTCCTGGATCTCCCCATCCACTAAGCGCAAGCTCTCCCCACCTCCCCTGACTTAAAAATGCCCTTTCACTTAGCAGGTGGCCCCATGGGTCTCCCTCCCTCCAGGGCTGAGAGTTCACACCTGGTGCTYCCATATGCCCCCATGGGGTGCCCAGCTCTGGGTGCCTATGCGCGGAAGGTAAGTAAACRCGGGATGCGTGTTCCAGAAACCAAGTAAGGGTCCTTGGAGGCCTAATACTCAAACTGGAAGGAACACTATGAAGGACGGAAAATGCTAGAAGCTACCCCTTCCCTCTTTTTCTGTGTCTCCGTCAAGAGCCAAGGCTCCCTCCCAGCTGGGACAGAGCTCACACAGTCCAACTCAGGGGCTTCAGACGACCCCTTAACGTCCCATCCATTTCTTTATTGCTTATATTCTAGGCTCCCGAAGAGGGTCCTGATCCCCATCCCCCGCCCCCCGTCACACACACACTTATTTTTTGCAGTACTGGGGCTGGAACCCAGGGCCTTGAACATGATGAGCAAGCACCCAGCCACTGAGCTCTTTTCATTTTATTTTGAGACAGAGTCTCTCTAAGTTACTGGCCTCAGACTCTGATCCTCTTGTCTGGGCCTCAGAGGTGCTGGGATTCCAGGTGAGCGCCAACTCTGGCCCTGAKTCCCTTGCTGAAACGTGACGTGCTCTCCCTGGCTGGTGTCCTGAACCTGAGCTTTGGTTTCCAAGCCTGTTGGGTGAGGATCTGGGGGGTCCTACTTCCCTAGGTTGGGGTAGGTATGAGGAGAGGGCGACAGAGCACCCACGCAGTACCCCGCACCCAGGAAAGCCCAACTGGGTCTCCCAGGAGACGGGTTTTGCCATCCTGGGTGAGCACGAGGCGAGCCCAGCCGCCTGGCAGCCTGGGGATTTGAATGATACTCATGAAGGGAGCATCCTAAAAGGTCAAAACAGAGACAGGAACTTCCACACAAGCTCACACTTGCTAATGACTGGATCCTTGTGGGATGTGGTTGCTTTGGAAACGGGCTCAAAAATAAGAGGAGACTGTGGAAGACGCAGAACCTTGGGGCAGGGACTCCATTCTCAAACCAGGGTGACACTGCACACATACAAGTCAGCCCTGAGCTGGGCCAGCCTGTGGCCAAGCCACCAGGACATGCAGCATCACTGTGAGAACACTGGTCTGGGGCCAGGTGGCCTGGGATCAAATCCTGACTTCACCTTACCAGGTAAGTAGGTTACTCACCTTCTCTGGGCCTCCGTTTCCTCATCTACAAAATGAGGGTAACTGTGGACCTACCTGTGGGCCAGTGTGAGGATTAAACAGAGTGGGGCCTGCTGTGTGGAGTGCAGTCTATAAATGCTGGTTCCAAAGGGGGTGGGCGTGCCCACCTGTCTCCTTCCGCAGGTTCTCCTCCAGCGTGGACAGCTTCATATCATAGGAGTTGCGCATGGCAGTGATGTCTTCCTCCAGCCTGGCCCGGGACTCCTGCTCTGCCTCATAATCAGCCTTCAGCCGGGCCAGGCGCTCCTCGTACTCCTGGGGGTCAGGGGGAAAGCAGGGGCCAGCACTTTACCACCACTCACCACCTGGCTCTCAGTGTTCCCTGTGTTTTCTCAAATGACACAGGAAGGGGCTGGGGTTGTGGCTCAGTGGCAGAACACGTGCCTCGCTAGGTTCGATCCTCAGCACCACAAAAAATGAATAAACAAAATAAAGATATTGTGTCCATGCATAACTAAAAAATGTTTTTTAAAATGACACAGGAAATACAAGTGATCAAAAGAAGAACATTAAGCCCCCTGTGCAGCCTGGCCGGGGATCACCCCTCTGAATCTGCCCTGTGCGTTTTGCTTTCTGTAGTTCTGGGGTGGAACCCAGGGCACCTCACGTACCAGGCAAGCGCTCTAGCACTGAGCTGCACCCCAAGCCCAGGAAGGGACTCTCTTTTTAACTTTTCAACTTTGACTTGCTAACAAGAAGGTCACAGAATAGGATAAAATATTTCCAAAACATAAATCTGGTAAGAGACTTTTATCCAGAATAAAGAACTTTTTTTTTTTTGTTTTTTTGCCTATACTGGAGACTGAACCCAGGGGTGCTCTACCACTGAGCCACATCTCAGCCCAATCACTCTTCATTTTTGCCACACTGGGGGGTGACCAGTAACTTGCCAACCCAGACACAGTACTTTCTCCTGCTCCTTAGCAAGGTTCTCCCCAGGCCTCAGCTTAATAGTGCCCCTCAGCCATGTCCCCACCACACTCTTGGAAGACCCCTGCCACTCTGCCACTGCATTGTCTTCTTAGTCCCTGTCTTCTCTGTATCTCCCCCTGGATGTGCACTCCCTGGGACACCCCTCAGCCCATCCTCAGCCCATCCTCAGATGCATTTGTACTTCAGGTAATAGCCGCAGTGTCACCGAGGCCTGGGGAGGTTCCACCATCAACGGGGCAGCTCTCTGACAGCCTGGGAGACCGCCCACCACCCCTGTCCTCGGTTCCTTGAGAATCCCAGCCAGCGCACCCTCATTCCTGAGCCAGCACCCGCTTGCTCACCCTGAGTCCTTTGCAGTTTTCTCCCAACACAGGCCTGACCCTGGTGAGCCCGGCCTCAGCCACCAAGCCCTGCGCCCCAGAAAAGCCAGCCTGGGAACGCGCGGCGGAGCCACCCTTCTGTTAAACGAGGGGCCCTGAATCTCGGGGCCTCTAAGTGGCTGAGCACCCTGCCCTGTCCCCACCGTCTCCATCTGTTCTCTGTACTCTGCACGCCCCCACATCTCCTGCGTCTGCCTACACRGCAACACGGAAGCCATGGGCGCTGTCACCTGCCCGTCCACCTGCAGGCTGCCGAGCGCCCCCTGTGGCCATCAGCCACCTCTGGAGCAGAGCCTGGAGGCCTTTCAGTCCCCAACTCCCTGCCTCCTCTGTACTGGAAGGCTCCCCACCAGTCTAACCCCAACCTCCCTGGGCCCCACAGGCCCTCCAGCTACAGTGCGCAGCGTGGGCTTGGAGAGGGCTGAATGGGGCTGGAGAGCAAGGCCAGCCCCCAACTTCAGGTGGCCAGCTACACAACCCAGCCACAGGAAGACAGCCCTTCCTCCCGCACRCCCAGGCCCACACCGGCAGCAAGCACGAGAGCCCAATGGGCAGACAGGGCCCAGAGAGCTGAAGCCACCAGACCGAGGCCACAGCGCCCTGCAGGACTTGACGTGTGGCATGAACAGCTGGCTGCTCCCTGAGAATCTTCCAGTGGGAAATCTCACATGTGGACTGGAGACAGCGCCTGGCCACACCTGGGCTCCTAGCCGAGCCCCTCCACCACACAGAGGGGCCTCCCTCCTGAGCATCTGCCGGCTGGAGAGGAAAGGAAACCCAGTCCCAGGCAGGGGGCAAGTGCAGTAAATATGACAGTCATGAGGGAGAACAAACGGCAGGGAGGAGGGAGGACACACATCCTCAACCCTTCCAAGTGGCTCGGAGCAGAAACTCCAGGGTTATCAGGGAGTCTCAGTGTCAGTGGAAACGCAGAACACTCCGGTGGATGCTGGCCACACCCATCCCCAGGGACCAGCGGGACCCTCCCATCTTCCTGTCTCCAGTCTCACAGTGGCTTGCCAGGAAGGGTGTCCCTACCCCATGGTGACCACTAGGGGGCGGTGGCGYCTGCTCATTGGACAGCCAGGGCACCCGCTCAACAGGGCAGCCTTGGGGAAGCCGTGATCACAGCTCCTGTCCGACWGTCCTTCCTGGATCTAACCAAAGTCCACCAGTTGATTCCACACCCTTCTGGGGCCCTACAAACCTGACTTCTCTCGCTTCTGTGGGCTTGTGCTCCACCATCCCTTGCCGCCACTTCCCCAGAGGCAGACCAGGGCTCCAGAGACAGACCTGGCACCAGACCCTGCCCCAGACTCATAGGAGAAAAGGTGAACTGAGCATCTGGGCTCCCGGGACCCCCAGCCCACAAGACAGGCCCCAGGCCTTACCAGCTGCACTCTCCACAGGCTGGGCACCAGGCCCCACAGCTGGCACAGGCAGACCCAGGGCCTGAGGGCTGCCCCCAGCTGAGGTCATAGTTGAGTGGCAGGGGCCCAGGTGCAGAAGCAGCTAGGACAGACCCCTGCAAAGTTGGCTCTGCCTGGCAGTAGGTCCACTGTCAGGAGAAGCCACTTCCCTAAAGAGACTATCAAATGTCAAGCTCCACTACAGGCTCAGCACCTGGAGCAGGGACGGAGCCTAAGCCGGGAGGCTCAGCCTTCCCTCTGCCCATCAGTTCTCCACCTGCCCTCCTGCTTCCCAGGGACCCTGGGAGACACATGTGGAAGACCCAGGTGTCCCCAGCAGCAGCTTTTCCTAGGAGGCCAATACTCTGCTGACAGTGGTCAGTTGGGCTGCCAGGCTCTTGGCCCCTGGCTGGCTGGCAGCTGCTAAGAGAGATTCCTGCACGGGGCCAAATGACCTTGACCTGGCTCATTCCCATSCATATCCAGCCCTCCCCTCAGGCCTGGGGAGGATGAGCTCCTGGGGCTGTCCCGTGCCCTCTGCTGTCCTCACACATGTGTTCCCAAGGCATGGGCTGCAGGCAAAAGCCAGGAACCTGGGTTCAGATCCTGGCTCAGACTCTTCATAGCTATGACCTTGGGCAAGGCAATGACAACTCTTTGAGCCCTAGCTTTCTTCAGCACAAAGAGAAGGCTGCGGCCCCAGCCCCATGGGACAGGTGAGGGGGTGCTATCCTGCGTTGGCTGGCCCTCCGAGGCCTAAAGCAGCAGTCACCCTCCCTTTCCTTAGGGGCCCTGCAAGCCTGCTCCCCCACATAACCAGGCCTCACCTCCCGAATTAGCTGCTTCTCCGCCTCTGTGTCTTGTTGGATCACAGGGGTGGGCCAGGGCTTCTCCTCAACCTGGACAGGCTTTGGGGGTGCCTGGCTGGACAGCAGAGCTAGGAGAAAAACATGGGTAAGGAGCCGTGAGAGAAGCACCGGGTTTRCAGGAACTAAGCAGAAATCAGTCACGCAGCGACTTGGAAAAGACACATCTCTATTAAAGTATTGTTGGTCATCCAACAAATCTGTAGGTGCATCCAGACCCTGGGGTGCAGCACTGGACAGAGCAGATGAAACTCCACAGCCACGCTGAGCTTTCCACCAGGGGAGAAAGGCAAAAACAGACCCAAGCAAAATGTGTCACCTGTCACAGGAGATGTGTACAGAGAAACCAATCTCGGGGAGCAGGCTCAGAGGTACGGACCCCGAGGAAGGCTGCACTTTGAATACTGTGAAGACCTGTTAGAGGAGGTGAGATGAAGGCAGAGAACTGAAGGAGGAGGAGGAGGAGGAGGAGGAGGAGGAGGCGGCTGCGGCAGAATCCAGGGGAGGGCTTCCCAGATAGAGTGTGAAGGCCCCGGGGGCAGGTCTGGGCCTACACTAGAGGCCAGTGGCTGGAGTGGAGCAGAGTAAGGGGGACAGTGGGCAGGGTGCAGCTGGGGAGGGCGCAAGGCCAGATCCCAAATCCACAGCTAGGACAGGCCTGTGAGCCCAGCAGAATTACTCCAACCAGCCAGGCCTCAGCTGTCCCCCTGCCAGGTCCTGGATTCCCCCAGAAACCCCAGAAAAGCCAAAGGTGACCATGGAGGGAGGAGAGACAGGACAGCTCCTTGGAGGGAGGACAGAGGGAGTGGGGAGAAAGACTGGGACCAGCAAACGCAGACAAACGTTTCACATTTTGCTAAAATTTTTTTAGAAACACGCCAGGAGCCAGAGGGAGAGCCAGGCCTGGCCAGCAYCGGGGAGGCTCCTGGAGCCTGGAGTTCCACAGGCCTGGCTCGAGGCTCAGCTCCAGGCCAGGGCGGCACGGGCTGTCTGGGGGCCTGTGAGCCAGATCCAGGCTGAGGTCTCACGGGCGTCTCTCAGGCCATTCCCAGATCCCCGCCAAAAACAAGCCAGTGTGGCCTCCACCTCCATTCCCACAGGAGGTGAGCTGGCTACCCACTGCCTCTGCCCCCCGCCCTGTGTTCCTCAGCAATCTGCGTGTTGCGGCCCACATCGGCCACTCTCACCCTGCGAGACGGGGCTCACCTCCTCTGTGCGCCTTCTCTGACTGGCCACGGGCCACCCCCAGACAGACCTGGCCACACACTCCTTTCTGCCCTATAGTCTGTCGCTGTGTGAGAGTCTGCTGGAGCGTCCTCTGGCCCAGGAGACCAGGGCCCCAGGAGACCCTGGGTCTGAGTCATCGCTGTGTCCCCAGCACCCAGCCACATGAAGAGGTGGTGCTCAGGGAATCCTGGACGGATGGGCAGTGGGTGGGAGGAAAGATGGAGGAGTGGGTGGCAGGGTGGAGCGTGGGTCTGTGGGTGGCGGTGGATGGGGCTGGTGGTCAGAATGGGTGAATGCGGGGATGGACTGAGGAGGGAAAGAGGGAGGGAGATGGAGGAGGAGGGAGGGGAGGGAGGGGAGACAGTGCGCAGGCAGCGGTAGATAGTGCCTGGCTGGGAGGCGGGAGGCAGATGAAAAGGGAGMGGCGAGGCGGAAACTGGGTGACTGGTGATGGCAGGTGCGTGGGCGGAGGGAGGGCCACGTGGGATGGAGGGCACAGGAAGGTGGGCAGGACGGCGGGAGTGGATGAGCCCAGGCTCTCTGCTCCCTCCTTGGGGGACTGAGAACAGGGGGGTCCCAGAGTCCTCCGGCGGCACCCTGCAGGCCCACTCCTGGCACRATCCCCTGCCAGATGACAGCCGAGCCTGGGCGTGAAAGCCGCAATGACAAGGTGCCTAATTAGGCACAGGGTGGGGCGTGGGGAAGTGAGTCACCCGGCTGCTGAGCTCACGACGCTGCCAGAGACGTGGGCAGGCAGGTGACAGATGAGCCCAGAGGCRGGGAGTGGGCGACAAGGGCCTGCGGCTGAGGGACAGGTCAGGCAGACTGGCCTCTTCCTAGGGGAGGGACAGGCAGAAGCCATGTCCGTGGTGGAGGCGGAGGTGGGCGCTGCTCCCACCCTCCCTGCCACTCGGGCCGCCCACCTGCCAGGCTGCTGGGGCTCATCTGCTGCGCCAGGATGGCCTTGAGCCTCTTGATCTCCTCCTGGTACTCCCGGAGGAGGGCGTCCTTGGGGTCCTCATTGATGCGCGGTTTGTTCTTGATGTTCTTGGCCCGGTTGGCGTAGCGCAGCGTGCTGAGGGTCTCGTCGTAATTGTTGTCGGCGGGGGACAGGCAGGCCACCATCAGCGTCTTGGTGTTGCCGCCCAGGGAGTCCTGCAGCAGCCGCGTCAGCTTGGAGTCGCGGTAGGGGATGTGCTTGCAGCGCCCGTCTACCAGCGCCGAGATGACGTTGCCCAGGGCAGACAGCGACAGGTTGATCTTGGTGGCCTCCTTGAGCCGCTCCCCGGTGGCCCCCGTCTTGGACTGCCGCTCACTGCCTGCCAGGTCCACCAGGTTCAGCTTGCCGGCTCGGAGGTGGTCCTTGCCCCGCTCGTCTGCAGACAACCAGGCGGAAGGCGGACCATGGGTGAGTCCACGGTAGCTAYAGCAGTTCACCACCAGGCCCTGAGGGCCCACCACCCACCCAAGGCCTCACATCAGGCTAACAGGAGCCACACAAAGGAGGTGCAACCATTGTGCCCATCTTACAGAGGAGGAAACTGAGGCTCAGAAAGGGCATGTAACTTTCCCAAGGTTACCCAGCTGCCAAGAGGTAGAGCCAAGACCAGAACCCAGGGCTATCTTTTTCCAGGGAGCGCAGTCTGGGAGGGGCAGTGTGTTCTGAAGGCAGCAGGATTCCTTTTGGCCACCACATCAATTCCTACAGACTTCTTGTGTGTTCTTTCACACACACACACACACACACACACACACACACACACACACACAAATGCTTTAGAAATCCTTGGACCTGGTTCCCAATGCAGTCCTGCCTCCTCCTTGCTGTGTGACCTTAGCAGAGCAATGCACCTCTCTGAGTCTCAATTTCACACATCCATGAAGTGAGACTAGCAATCTACTAGAGTAGATTGGTGGCACATTCTTGCAGGATCTACCTGGGGCCAGCACATATGGGGGGTTCATTCCTCTGGGAACAGGGACAGTTCTGCAGGGCCTGGGGCTGTGCCAGTAGAGCAGACCTTGGGTGTTGGGAGTCACAGGAGAGCCAGGCACTGGCTGGGAGCAYGGGGCTTAGAAACAGGTTTTTGAAGACACAGATCTGGAGAGTCACATCCTGATTCTGTCCCTTAGTGGCTATAAAACTGCAGGAAATGGCTTCCCCCTGGACTGGAAAGCTCAGCCTTCCTCCCGTGCAGGGAGCYGAACCCTCCTGACTGGGTGGGGTCCCACAGGGCACCCACTCGCAGAACCCTGGTGCCCCTGGCTGGGGGCAGAGCCCATGCCAYGACAGCTTGCTGCTTAGTGCTACTGAGGTTCTTAGTCATGGTCACGAGGTCACCAAAACTCCCCAAGAGAAAGCGGGTAAAAATCATTTGTTTCTGACTTCTCTGTGAACTAGGCCCAAACTCGGGACGTGGGAGGGAGTGGACGGGGCACGGAGCTTCCTCCCTGTTTCCCACGGGCTGGACCAGAATTGGCCTGAGCCGTGCCCATGGGCACAGCAGTAAAAGTCTGGCTGTACCCAGTAGTGACAGACATGCAAGGGTTTCGTTTTTCAGGTTTAAAAGGAGAAAGAGAAGCAGGGAGCTGTGGGGGCAGGTGCACATCTACAATCCCAGCCACTCGGGAGGCTGAGGCAGGAGGACAATTTTCAGGTCATCGGGGCAACTTAGCAAGACCCTGTCTCAAGATAAAATAAAACAAGGGCTGGAGATGTAGCTCAGTGGTAGAGCACCCCTGGGTTCAGTTCCCGTCCCCCCCAACACACACACACACAGCAGGGGGGGCAGGGGGAAGAAACTTCATGCTACTCCTTTGGAAAGCTACTTGCAGAATGTACCAAAATGTACCAGGGGCCGTGAACCTGTTTGTTCCCTTTGTTTCCTGAGTCCAGTCCCGGGATCTAACCTGAGGAGATGCCTCCCAAGGCAGAAAAGGCTTTGAGCACAAAGATGATCCTCACAGCATTAGTTACAGCGCTGAAAAGCCAGAGGCAGTTTTTACCCCTTGTTTGAGGAGGGGCTAGAAAGGGCCTGAGCCATGGGCTGTCCTCTGGCCACACACGATCACAAAGACACGGTGAGGAGATGGGCCTGGGGGCGAACGCCAGGAAAGAACCACAGAGAGCAGAAGAGTCCAACTACGTCTAAAAATGTCAGAGGGAAAAAAGTGCGGGCTGGGCGCCACGGTGCAGGCCTGTAATCCCAGCAACTTGGGAGGCCGAGGCAGGAGGATGACAAGTTCCAGGCCAGTCCCAGTAACTCAGAGAGGCACTGTCTCAAAATAAAAAATAGAAAGGGCTGGGATGTGGCTCCGGGTTAAGCACGGGCCAATCCCTAGTGCCACTAAAAAGAGAAAGAGCAAGCCTGCTTGTCCTCAGTGGAGCTGGCTTAGCCCTGGGTACTGCCGTTTACCCAGGAAGCAGGGGCCCAGCAGCGGGCACCAGCTGTTCCCCAGGGTTAGGGCGTCTCTTCCCAGTTCCCCTTGGGGCTGGAGGGCTCCTGAGGCAAGTGCTGGGGCCGGCAGAGCGGGAACCTGGCTCAGGTGGCCGGGGCCTCCCTCCCCCCCGCCCCGCCACATACCCACGGCGTAGATCTCGATGCTGATGGTGAAGATGGAGTGGGAGCGCGAGGAGTCCTTGTTCATCAGGGTGTAGCCCACCGAGCGGTTCTTCCAGCCCGTCTCCATGATGCGCTCGCACTGGGCCACGCTGTGCACCGTGTGCAGGGACAGCCCCTTCACGTACACACCCTTCTCCGGGTGCTCCTTCAGCTGTGGCAGGAGGAATAGGTCGGGCCAAAGCCTCCTGCCTCCGAGGTTGGGATCAGAGATCCCCAAGAAACCTGAGAGAAGGGCCAATCCAGGCAACCAGGCCCTCCTGCAGCACAGCGGGGCCAGGCAGCACACCTGCCCTGGCTTCCTGCCTGCTGTGAGACCTCAGGCCAGTGACCTAACCCGAACCTCGGTTTTCACATCTGTAAAATGGGTATGAGATAGAGGACTACGGTAAAGATCCAGTAAAATAAGGTACAGACAATGATCGGCATGTGCCCAGTGTGTGGGAACTGCCTGCTGAGTGCAGCTGAGGTCTGGGCTGTCATTGTTAGAATAATTCCCAAGAAGTGGTTCCCAGACTGGGGGCTTCAGCTCCCTGGGGCTGATTCTGTAGTCACCCGAGGGCTCTGACTGGTCTCCAATCTTTCCATGTGGCTCCTGATTGCCTCTCTGCAGTTCCTCCAGGGCCACGGGGATGTCCCCAGGCCCTTGGAGGTGGCAGGTGAAGGGCCATTTGCATCGCATCCCAGAACCCCCAAGGATCAAACCGGCCCAACCTAACTGCAATAGCAGGGACCAGGTAGCACATCCGGGAGCTCCCGGCTCGATCTGCAGGCAGCCACGCTGTTTAGCGGTGACACAGAGCTGTGAAAGGCAATATTTTTCAAGTGTGAGAGGAAAACAAAACCACTCTGGCAAGAGCGGAATGAATTAGGACAACAGGTGTTTGTCTGCCAAATGGCCCTACTGCTTGGAGACACTGAAGGCTCAGATGCATTGCTCCAGGCAGCTTCAAGGGTCCCCAGTGGGCTGGGCCYCTGCTGTGTGTGGGCAAGCACAGGCTGGCCCCATCTACTCAGGTGTGAAGTGCAGAAGCAGCCAGACCCAGCTTGAAGGGCTGCATGCAATGGATAAGCAACTGAGGCACAGAGTGGCTAAGCAACTTGTTGAAGGCTGCACAGCTATTAGAGGTGATAGAAGGCTCCAGAGACAGGGTAAAGAGAGCATCCCATAGAACTGCAGCTCGAAGTGACAAAGGGCTGACCTTGTCCTAGTTGTGGTGGTAAGAAGGAGCACAAAGGACAGAAGCAGGAGTCCCTGCAAACAGTGTGGCTGGACACCAGCCCAGGGCTCTGTGGCAGTATTGAGGCCTGCCCACCTCGGGAACTCAGAACCCACCTGTGCACAGCGAGCCCAAGGAGGGGCTGGGCACCTGTCTTCAGGAAGCACCTATTTAGCCAGTTTCTTATTTAGTCAGACAAACTCAGGCAGGAAACCTGGTCTGTGACTTGCTAGGTGGGAAATCCGTTTGCCTGTGGCCCCAAGTCCCTCGTCTGTGCGGTGGCCACGATGAATCCTAATTCTGCAAGACTGTTCCGAGGCTGTGGAGGGAACGATCTAAAACAAATGCCGCAGGTACTTAGCGGGGCTCAATGAACCAGGACGTAAAGACGACAAGGACACTGACTCAGGCCTGAGCAACCAAGGGACATCCCTCAGGAGGGGTCTTTCCCTCACCTGTGATGCCCAGGGGCGTCCTCCCTGCTACTCCTCCCCTGCACACCCTCCCGCCCTGCCCTGGGAAGACGCCAAGGGGCATCGATCGGCCAGTGCCTGCCCCCTTCCTTGGTAACTGCTCAGAGCAAGGTCACCATGGCAACCGGCCGGGATGAGACAGGAAGGAGAGAAACTCAGGAACAGGGACGTGACCAGGGTCCAGTCCCAGTCCATGGGGAGGGGCAGGCCCTAATGCACTGCCTGCACACGGGTGGGGAGACGCAACTTGAGCCCCGTGCCCYGTGGGCCTGTCCCCACCACACACCACCGGGCTGGGTCCCGGGTGTTTGCAGGAGCTCGGGGAAGGGAGACTAACACCCCCAAAATGACCTTCAGGCCTTTGCTGACCCAGTGACCTCTAATTATAAAATCAACCAGGCCCCGGGTGAGGCCCAGGTTAGAGCTTGTGCTGAAATGTGGCCCCGAGTTCAACCCCTCGCCACTCTTCTAAGGGGAGCCCTGGCTGGTCACAGGAAGGTGCACTAAGCCTCAGCTTCCTCCTCACTGTCAAGGGTGAGACAGTCCCTCCACAGGAGGCTTCGGGGAYAGCCTGAGGGAGCACCTAAGGCCTGTGCCCCAGCAGCCGGGAGGCAGCGGGCTCACCAAGCCTGAAGCCTGTGTGTGCGGCGGCAGGAAGGCGCCTCCTGGGTCCCCAGGTCTTCTAGGGTCCTGGAAGCGGGGGAGAGGCCCCGCTGCCCCAGCGCGGGCTGATGGAGGGCTGCAAACAGGTGGCCCAGCCCCTGGCCTTCTGGAGCTGCCAACGGGAGCAACACTCTGTGCTGCCTCCTCGCCCTGCTTCCCGTCTGGGGGCTGAGCTCTGACTCAGCCGTGCCAGGAGAGAGGAGATGGCACAGAGGCTCCAGGTGGGCGGCCGGGCTCCTGCCTGGAGAGGAAGAAGTGCGGCTCCATTTTGCAGAGCGAGCAGGAGGAGGGGCTGGAGTCCTGGGAGGCGAGAGGGGCTCACTCCTGGTGCAGCGTGTGGCCTGGCCCTGGCACCTGGCACCCACAGGGCCTTCCCAGTAAGCCTCTGTTGATAAGTGAATCAACGGRTGACTGTCCCTCTCTCCTTGGAACTGAAATCACTGGCTTGTTATTGGCCCACGACGGGGGTTGGTCGGATGGGCAGCAGCAGAGCCGGAGCAGCGGGAAGATGGCAGGAAGGTGGCCACCAGGGCCCTGGCTGCACAGCGGGGTCAGCATCCCCCACTGGCCTCTTTTCTCCTTGCACCAGGCCAGACCCATGAGCATATAAGGAGCCTCCGACAGGAGACATAACAGTGCCTCTCACCAGGCAAAGGCCAAGAGCCTCAGACCTGAGTCCAGCCCGGCCACTCGCTGGCCACCCCCTGTCCTGGCAGGTCTCTTGACCTCCCTGGGCTCCCCAAAGACCAGCCTGGTTCTGCCTATCTGGACAGAACCCCAAACATCTAACTCTGCTCCCCACCGCTGTGAAGTGACATCAGCCATCCTGAGTCTAGGCTTTTAGGAGACTGAGGACAATTTATGAAACTTGCACAAGGGTCACCGACTGAGCCAGCCCTAACCTTCTAAGCTGTTGCGAGTTGCTGATCCGTCCTGACGCTGCCCCTGGAGGATTCCACTCCGCTACAGCCCATCACAGTCACCCTCCTTTCTCTCAGTCCCAACAGGAAGTCGCTCACTCTGGGCACCAGTAAGCCCTGCCGCTCATCCCAACKGCCCTCTTCAACACTCAGCGATCCTGTGCAGCCCCATCCTGAGTCCCCTTTCAAAGGGAATAAGGCCTCAGAACCTGAGCTCAGCAGCAGCAAAATGACATATCTGAGACCCAGGACCTTGAATCAGACAGACCTAGGTTCAGCCTGCTGCTGCAATATTTAACTTAGACAAGTTAATGACCCTTTTTTTTTTTCTTTTATTCTTTTTTTTCTTTTTGTATGGGGTATTGAAACCAGGGTCACTTTGCCACTGAACTATACCCTGCACACATTTTTCTTTTTCTTTTTGAGTCAGGGCCTTGCTAAGGTGTTGAGGCTGGCCTTGAACTTTCGATTCTCCTACCTCGGTGCCTTGTTCCTCCTGAGTCCCTGGAGTAACAGGTGTGCACCCCTGCACCCTGCATTCATGACCCCTTCTAAACCTCCCTTCCACAGTGGTAAATTAGAAATGAAAATCTTTACCCAGCACAGGTAAAGATTTACCACAGGTATTAAATGGGACCATGATTTCTCTTTTAGCATGAAGGGCCCTTAGAGATTTTCATAATTATTTTTTACMAGTAGAATCCCTTTTTCAAGGGCCTGGGGTTGTGGCTCAGTGGTAGAGCACTCACCTAACATGTGTGAGGCCCTGGGTTGGATCCTCAGCACCACATATAAATAAATAAATAAAATAAAGGTCTTGTGTCCAACTCCAACTAAAAATAAATATTTAAAAGAAAATCACTTTTTTAAGTAAAAATATATCACAAGACTCCATCTGCTTGAACACTCAGACATGGCATGGCCCAGGACGAGACTGCCCTCGTGCGCTGGGTGGGAGGCCCATGAACCCCTCCCTGCACCATGGGCTTGACAGAAAACACTCTGACTGTGGTCTAGACCAGCACCTGCACCCGCAGGCTGCGCTCCCTGCACTTCTAAGGGAGGCCATGGCCTCCCCAGACTGGGTCTGTACCCACCTCCAGCTTCTGCTTGGTATCAGCCCCCAGCAGGTCACGGACATCTTCATTGTAGATCTCCAGGTAAGAGGCCCGGACCAGAAACTTGGTGTTCTCTGCACACTGTGGCGATTAGACACACAGAGACATCTGAGGCCAAAGCCTCCCTCCGGCTGCCAGGCCTGGGCCTCCACAGCCGGCAAATCACAGGAAGAGGGAGACGCAGGTTTGCATGACAGGACTCCCCATCCTGGCCTAGCCCTCCTATCCTTCTGGCAAAGCCCCCACTTCTCCAGCTCAGAGGAGCCTCAGGCCTCACCCTGTTGCAGAATTCTGTCAATAAGCCACATGGGGAAGAAAAGAAGCCTGTCCATTACTCAGGCAGAGAAACTGAGGCCACAGGTAAGGCCTGGAGCCAGCACTGACTCTGGGCTGATCTCTGGCAGCTCTCCCAGCCCCTTCGAGTCCCTGAGTGGTGGTCAGGCTGGACAGCGAGATCATTACGCGAGGGGCTTTTCTTGGTCCGTGACAACTGCTTGATACAAAGGGAGCCATATTGCTACAACCACCTCGGCCRTAGTGCTCCATCTCCACAGCCACGGGAAATGTCAAGTGAGTGCTAAGATCCAAAAATGGCAGGAGGAAGACGTGGGACTGGCAGAATTTTCTCAGCTTTAAGTTTTTCTTCCACCAGGATTTTCAGAAACCAGTGTCTGCCACCMCTGATCTGCACCAAGTCTAGGCTGGGCTCTGACCTCATCCCACAGTCCACGGCACAGGCCAGAAACACCCTGGGGCCACCTGGGGCGCTGGCCCTGCCCTCTCCCTCTGAGAGGCCCRTACCTGAACACTCTCAAACACGTGCTCAAAGGCCCTGGGGATGATGCCTCTCTGGGACGGTGGATCTGGCAGGCCCTGCATGGTGAAGGACTTTCCGCTGCCCGTCTGGCCGTAGGCAAAGATGGTGCCATTGTAGCCCTCGGTGACTCCCTGCATGGGAGGAAACCAAAACCAGGCACTCAGGTGACCAGGCCCAGGTGGGCAATCAGAGACCCACAGACTCCGGAAAATTCCCTGGSTATCCCACCAATGAACCCGGGGGCATGGGTGAGGAGTGGAGAGGCCTAAGGTACAACTCTGGTAGTTCATGGTCCAGGGGTAGGAATCTGTTCCCACGGGGCAAGCACTTGGCTGACCCCAGGCCACAGAGGTACCGGCCAGGAGAGGGGTGCCAACAAGTGAAACAGGACATGGCAGGAACCAGGCACAGGCTTCTGGGTGGTAAAGGTCCAACTGGGTTGGGGGGCTGAAAGAGTAGCTTGGATTTTGACAGGTGACAGGAAGAAGGTACCTCAGGTTGAGGGGACAGCTGGAGCAAAGACACAAGGGACAGATGTTGAGCAGGGGCGGGGGGGACAGAAGAGGTGGCTGGGAAGGAAGGCTGAAGGTGACTCGGGTGCCGTTTCTAAATCATTCTTCACTCATCTCTACAGTTATTCCCCCGGTACTGGCTGTCTTCTCTGTGCCAGGCACCGTGCTCTGGCTGGACAGAAGAGTRGACAAGGACACGGTCTCTGCCCCCAGAGAACGGCTCCCAGGGCTCAAGGGCCCACCGGGCACCGACACCTGGTTCCACTGAAGGACCTCTGCTGTGSACCACATCAGAGCTCAGCGGGCAGCCCCCAGAGCTGTGGGACAAGAAGGCAGGAGCCGCTATTCACAGGTCCCCAAGAAGACGAGGTCTCACTTTTATGGGGTAGAAGTGAATGAATGAACTCTTCTCCCTCGTCCAAGGAAATCGTGACTAGCGTGAGTTCCTGCAGCTTCTCAGAGAGGTGGGCCTCACGCATGGAACCCCTCCAACCCCATCAGAGCCCATGTCCTGAGGCTGGGCTTCTCAAACCATGGGCCAGGAGAGAGAGGGGCATGAAGCCTCTGGGAAAACATGGAGTGGCACCACAGTACCAATGTRACCCGAACAGGAAGAGAGCCCACATAAAAAGAAATATAATATGCATGTGCGAGTATGCACAATGATCCACTATTATGCATAATTATCACGCACCAATACAAATTTTTTTTGTTGGTACTAGGAATTGAACCCAGGGACACTCAACCACTGAGTCACATCCCCAGTCCTTTTTATTTTTTTAGTTTGAGAAAGAATGGCTTAGGGCCTCCATAAATTGCTGAGGTTGGCTTTGAATTTGCAATCCTCCTGCCTCAGTCTTCTAAGCTGCTAGGAYTACAGGGGTGCACCATCACACCATCACTTTTAAAATAAAATTCAAAAAGAAAAGAAATACAGCYGCACTGCACAGCTGCTTCCTGCACTGGGGTAGCTGCTAGTTGCACTGGACACGTGCCGGGTCCAAATGAGGAAATGAATTTATTTTAACTAAAAACATTCTTTTGTGGTGTTGAAGATCAAACCCCAACCTCATACATGCTGGGGAAGTGCTCTGCCACTGGATACATCTCAGCCTCTTAAAAATTTAATTAATAAAAATTTAATTAATTTAAATTTAAAAATAAAAGCAGCAGTGGCACAGGCCTGTGATCCCAGTGACGCAGGAGGACTGCAAGTTCAAAGCCAGCCTCAGAACTTAGCAAGACCCTGTCTCAAAATAAAAAAATAAAATAAAAAGGGCTGACGATGAAACTCAGTGGCACAACATCAATAGATTCAATGCCCAGTGCCAAAAACAAAATTAAAACAACAACAAAGACAGAAGCAATACAAAATATTCTTCCATTAAACACAACTTTATTTTTTGTTTCATTTTGATGATTGAAACTGAGATGTGCCAAAAGTATAAAATACATACCAGATTTCAAAGATTTAGTATGAAGGAAAAATATAAAATATCTCATTAATATTCTTTATATAAAGATAAYATTTGTTATTGTGCTTTTTCCTAAAATGGTATTTTTATATTGGGTTCACTATATATATATTTTTTTCTGGTGCCAGGGATTGAACCCAGGGATGCTTAACCACTGAGCCACATCCCCCAGACTTTTTATTTTTTCATTTTGAGACAGGGTCTTGCTAGATTGTTTAGAGCCTTTGCTAAATTGCTGAAGCTGGCCTTGAATTTATGATCCTGATCCTCCTGCCTCAGCCTCCCAAGTTGCTGGGATTATAAGCGTGCGCCAATGTGCCCAGCTTGGGTTAACTATAAATTCTTTTTTAAAAAAATATTTTTTAGTTGTAGTTGGATACAATATCTTTAATTAATTTATTTATTTTTATGTGGTGCTGAGGATTGAACCCAGGGCCTTACCTGCGCTAGGTGAGCGCTCTACCGCTGAGCCACAACCCCAGCCCCACGACCCCAGCCCCAGGTTAACTATATTCTTRAAATTAGTTTTAACTGTCTCCTTTTATTTGTTAAAATGTGGCCACTAGAGAAACTTGAATTATGTATGTGGCTCACGGGATATTTGCCTTGGAAAGTGCTGTCAACTGTTCCATCGAGTATGGTAGCCCCAAGCCACATGTGGCCACTGAAATTTAACTTAATTAAAATTAAATAAAATTAAAATTCAGTTCCTCAGCAGCATAGTCTTGTCCTGTTTGCCCTATTTGGAGGGCTGGCACAGAGCATTTTCATCATCCCAGGAAATTACATAGGATCATGCTCTCTGTAGAAAAAAATTTTAGGTCATTTCTAAGGCAAAACAAAGTTTTTGAAAAAGTCCCACCTAACAACTGATACCCCCAGACCCTCACAGGAAGAGCACACACAGAGCCAGTCACAAAAGCTTGCCACTCTGCATTGCCGCCCTAATTCTGTGTTACTATTCACTAAAGGGTTTTGATGAAATCAGCAGTTAATGGACTGCTTCTTGTGTGCGCTGTGGATGGAACTCAGGGCTTCACACATGCTCYGCAAGTGCTCTACTGCTGAGCTGCACCCCCAGCCCAGAAATGGACTCTCTTGTGTGTGTGTGCGTGTGTGGGTACTGGGGATCGAACCCAGAGCCTTGTGCATGTAAGCAGGCACTCTGCCAACTGMGCTATATCCCTAGCCCCAGAAATGGACTTTTTTTTTAACCTGGTGTCATCCTGAGCAATAATTCCCATGACATTGCATTGAAGATTATATATTTTTCCAACTATTGAAATTAAAATTAAAAYATATCCTAAGTTGCCCCACACCCCCTTTCTGCTTCCTCCAAACATCCCAGGGGCCAATTCTGTGGTTTCTACTGCACTGATGTCTCAGAAAACAGGTTCACCCTCTTCAGCCTGGCCATGGCAGAAGCCTGGTATATGGCCCCTGCATGGACTAGGGGCAAATCAGCAGAGGTGACCCTGAGGCCTTGGGTGTGAAGGGGCAGGGAAAGGTGGCAGAGCTGCAGGCTAAGAAGTGTCCCCAACCAGGCCACAGGCAGGACAGGAGGGAGRAGTATAAGGGAGGGCATCCTAAGTCAACCAGGGGCAGTGTGGAGAGGAGAATTGAAAAAGTCACCCAGGGACAAAAGCTCAGGAATGGAGCCCGGATTTAAGGAGTGGGGGAGAAAAGGGGCAGAAAATGAAGACAGAATTGCTGGGGGCTTCATGTGGCAGGAATGAAGGGAGGGTTCTGGACTAAAGGCTTCCTAGAGGTTGTCCTGGGGCCTAAGTCAACAGCCAGATAGCCCTTGGAGCAGGACTCAGAGCTAACGTGTGTGTGTTTGCATGTGTTTTGCATATTATTTGCATGCTTCTTTTAATAGAAGGCAGCAGATAGACATGGGAACTGGGTACTGGGATAGGACTGTCCCTAACTTGTTCTGTAAGTCTCCAGGCCCTTTTCTTATCGGGAATGGTAACTCCAGCTCTTCCTGTGAAGATCAAATGCTGCATGCTGGTCTCCACCCACAGGGCCTTCTCCTCTGCCTCCCTGCCTAGCTGACTCTTCTCATTCTCAGGTCTCAGCTGAGACCTCCTTTCCCCCAGGAAGTCCTCCCCATTAGTTCCCTTTAGCTCATCACCCTGAACTGTTAGCTTAGGAGCTCTTCCCCCGACCTTGAGCTTGCTGAGGGCAGAATCTACATCTCCTTTATATGCACTCCCGATGCCTAGAATAGGGGCCTTTATGGAGATGCTAGTTAGTTGGGTGAGTGAGTGAACGGGGAGTCTGAGGCTCTGTGGACCGTCCAGAAGCAGGTGTTGGCACTGCAGAACACAGGAGAAGAAGAGTTGGAGGGCAGCTCTGACAGGCCATCACCTTGTCTGTGGTGTTTCCCTCTCCAAGCTGGGGCTTCCTGGGGACCTGAGAGAGGCTTGCTTAGAGCATGATTCCAGGATGAGGAGGGACTGGGAGGAGCAAGGCTAACAACCTAGAGGAGGATGGCCAAGAGAGAACATGGTCTTCAAATCTGCCAGGGACCACCGAAAGTGTCACTGGAGCTCCAGGAAGAGCTTTGACTCAGTATGAAGAACAGTTTCCTAAAACCCACAAACCCAGGTGAAACAGGGCACTTTGGGAATCGAACTGCATTCGGTAGACACAYGCAGGTGAGGGCTGGTGTCCACTTGGTGGACATTCATGGATTCGATGAAAGAGGAGGGCTGGATCAGATGATCTCTCAGGTCCCTTCCAGCCTGGGAATCCAGGCCAGCAGAGGATAACCTGGCTATCCCTAGAGTCCAGGAGCATCCCCTAGGGGGACTTTCCCTCATCCTCTGGGCCTCGTCTCTGCTCAGGTCCTGGTCACCCAGGAGCTCTGGGCTTCAGGACACATCAACCCTCTCCAGGGTTTTAACTGGTTCYTGGCAAAAGAGATGGGAGCAGCCAAAGGGAGTGCTCTTAGGATGTTAGGGGGCCCGCTGGCCAAAAGACAAAGTGGCCATGCCAAATCCGTTTTGGAAGCACTGAGTTAAGTAAGCTGAAGTGTCTCCACGGCACGACTTCCCAGAGACTCAGCTATCCCACCAAGCCCCACAGCTTTGAGCGAAGGGCGCATACAGCATCAGCCCACTGTTCCTTTTTTTATGGAACAGCCCATGACATGTCACTGAATCAACAATTCACTGAGTGGTAGGGAGATGACAGTGGAAAAACAAGAACCCTTTGCCAGGAGACAGGAGGTGCCTGTCATTCCCAACCCATCTCTGCCAGAAACTCATGTGGAAGCTTGGGCAAGTCTGCTCCCTCTGGGCCTCAGTCTCCCCACGTGTGAAATGTGAGTGCCTTCCCTGTTATGGAGCACAGGTCACAACAGCGAGGGTAAAAGCCCTGTAAAGCCAGGAAGCCTCGCCCCCCTTTGCCTGAAATGCTGAGGCAGAGGAGACCTGTTAGGGTTTCCTCCAGGACAAGCCTGACCTGCAGCCTTCTCAGAAGCAGGGCCCCTTGAGACCCTTCCATGCTACTACTAGGTGCTGACCCAGGGGAGGATCAGGGTGCCAGGGAGAGAGGTTCAAAGGGGAGCAAGTGTAGGCCATGGCTTGGGCCATGGCTTGGAGGTTGAGGGGAGACCGAAGGCTCTTGTGATTCAAGGAGGCTGGGGGAGGGGCTGGAGTTTTCAGGGTCCCTGAAGGTCTGGGACGATGGTGGACGACAGATGGGTCCTGGGAGTTGGAGTTCTTCAGGAAAGGGTCTGGAAAGGGGGGTCCAGACCAGCTTTGGCTCTGGGTTCAGTGGAGACCTGGACGGCCACTGTAGGTAGGCAGGTTCCAGTGTCTCTGGCCTGGACACAGTCTTCAGACCAACCTGCTACTAGCCACCTGCTTCCCCCTCCTAAGGGCCTTCTTGCCCGGCTGGGGGCAGGGCCCTGGGGGCCCTCTGTCCCTTCAGGCCCCTCCSGTCTGGAAGGCGGCCTGTGGGGCGCCCTCACCTCCACCAGCGGGTAGGCGATCTCGTTGTAGATCTGCTCGGTGACGTGGTCCATGTAGTAGGCGCCGTCGAAGGTGAACTGCTTGGGGGGCTCGTCGGCGGCGCCCGGGTTCTGGAGGAAGCACTGGCCGCGCGCGCAGTCCACCGTCACCACGGCCTGGCAGTTCAGCTCCCGCTCGCGCTGGTTCATGGGCCGGCAGCGCACCACCACCTTCACCGACTCGGAGGCCATGGCCCCGCAGCCAAGACCTGCCCGGCGCGGCGCGATGGGGACGCCGGGGTCCCGGCTGCCGGCGGCGGGGGCGGGGGCGGGGCCGCGGCGGGGGGCTGGGAGGGCCCGCGGGGCTCCCCGAGAGGAGGGGGAGAGGGGCCGCGGGGGAGTCGCAGGACCCGAGCCGGGGCCGCCGCCGCCGCCTCCCGCGCCCGGGCTCGCCCGTCCCTGGGGCCGGGCCCGGGCGGGGGACGTGGGAGATCCGCGCTGCGGGCTCYGCCGCAGGACCCGGGCCCGGAGCCGCCCCAGCCGCCTGCTCGCGCGCGCGCCTTCACGGCGTTCGCCGTTGCCGGGCAACGCCGTGACGTCACAGGGCGGCCCGCAACCCCGGCGCGTTCTCCGGGCCGCGGAGCGGTGCCGGGCCGCAAGGCTCCCACGGCCCCAGCGCCGAGAGGCGTCCAGCCCGCGCCGGAAGGGGGTCAGTGAGACCTGTGTCACCTCGGGGCGAGAGCTCTCGGGAGCGAGGCCTCACGCAGGGTCAGGCGACCGAGGAGTCCTCTGTCCTCACCTGCGTGTGGACCCGGGGGAAGGCCGCCCAGAGCCCGCAGCGTTCACAGCTCGAGGCCTCCTCTGATGCCACCCTGTTCTTTCTTAAACTCAAGATTTTAAAACAAACAAAAAAACTTGAGCCAAAGTCTTTGGGCTGCGAAGGCCACCTGGCCCTACCAGGCTGGCTCTGCGCAACTTCCCCCGGCACAGAAGCAGTGTCGGTTTCGTGCCAGGTGTTGGGGAGCAGCCCTCCTGCAGGCCGGAGTCTGGCAGGGGAGACTGACACTGRAAACAACCCCCCACAAAATCCCATCAGTGATCGCAATTACAAACTAAAGAACCAGTTGGTGGGACAACTAACAGGGGATCCTCTGGGGATGCCTCTCAATGGTAGAGCACTTGTCTGGCAGCTAAAAGCCCCAGCACAGCAGGAAGGTTGAGGGGGGGACTTAAGTCTAGGCAGTCGGGTCAGGTATCCTGAGACTGACTGGAGCTAGAACATGACAGTTGAGGAGCTGAATCAAGCAAAGGGAAGGGGGTCAGTGAGACCTGTCTGGGCTGCGCAAAGGTCCTATGGCAAGCTGCTGGAGCACGAGGTGCTGAATCTTTTCCCTTAAGGGGTTTAAAGCAGAAGAARGATATGATTTGGTTAAACCCACCTACCTATGGTCCTTCTGGACATTCTGAGCCCTTGAGGACAAAACCTCTATCTGGCTTCCCACCCTGCACCAGCTGACTGTATGACAAAAACCAACAGGTGAGGTAGATGAAGACCGTGCCTCCTCAAGAAAAGTCTGCACTAGACCATCTGAAGACATGAGTTTTATTTGTTTGAAAGTCCACACAGTAAGGAAAGCTGGGCTCTCCAGTGGCACTGGTAGGAACAAGGACAAAAAACGTGGTCTCTAATCAAGACATGGAGAGCCCRCAAGCGTGGGCCAAAAATCTTGCCCCTTTTTTAACATGTCACCTATAAAGGCCGTTTGAAGAATGTCAAAGAGCTTGGGGAAGGCCTGTCCCTTCAGTGTGCTGAACATGTCCCCTCCCCCCAATCTCTTGTCCACACAGGTAATTGACACAAAAAACCCAGCCCTCCCAGAGAGGAGCCATGCCCAAGTCTGGGCCTATCACTGGTTCCCTTAAGTGCACATCTCTGATGCTCCTGTCCTAGGCCCAAGGCATCACTAAATCCCTCTCGGAGCTGGGGACTCCCACAGCCGGCCAGTGCTCTGCAGGGGCAGTGGGTGGGTTTCGGGGGTGGCTGCGGAGTCCCAGCTTCCCACCTCCATTCAGATGAAGTCAGGCACATTTCCAGTGACAAGTCCCTGAGGACATGTCCCCTCTATCCCTTGAAATGGACACCTCACTTGACAAGGTCCCTGGCCAGATCATGTCCTGGTGAGGGGCTAGATGCAGACACCGCAGGCCTGACCCTCCAAGAGGCCAGCTTCTCCCTCCCGGGTTGCCTCCTTTCTTTCTATCCTGCTGGTGCTGCCTTCTCCCTCAGGGAGTCAGAAATACATTACCTCCAAGGCACTGAACAGGCACATGCCAACCCCAGATGGGAAGAAGGTGGTCCCCTGACACATGACTGGGCCTCTGCCTCAGGATAGAAGTTCATCCAAAATGAACTTGTCCCATCACTTAATCGGGCAGATTCACATTTGTCAGTGAGCTTACTGATGAAGGGGATCCCTGGACTCGTCAGTCACACTAGGATGGTTCCTGCATCTCCCATAGCCAGCTGAGGCCAGGCCTCCTCTAGCAGGGCTCACATTACTTCTACCTGTGGATGGTTCTGCTCTGCCCATCCCCAGTGAGACTGGCCTGGTAAGTGGGCAGCCCCTGATGGCTGTGGTCAGCACTGCATAAAGGAAATGCCAGCATCAGGTGGCTTCCCAAGGCAGCCACCAAACTGACTGCAGTCTGCAGCTAACTACAGATGCACCCTGGGCCCTGGCAGCCAAATGGCTAGCGGAGCTKGTGCACTCACACTCCCTCTGTGTCTGGTTCCTGTTGGGAGCTCTCCAGAGACCTGGTCTCTTTAGGAAAGGCTGCACCTCTGCTGGTGAGCAAGCCTCCTAACCCTTGGAGAGCTCTGTGGAGGAGCAGAGTAGAAGCCAGGACAAGCCCCAAAGCCATTCAGAAGATATGGAACCCCTGTAGCTCCGCCTGGAACCTCGGACGACTATGTGTCCTATGAGAAGCCACTGAAAAATCTCCAATGTCAGGGCTCCCCTCCCACGGGCAGCAAAGCAATGGAAAAGTGGTCCGGGGCAGAGACCGATGGAATGGTGGCCAGTGGGGAGCAGGGAGAGCAGAGCAGCTATGAAGGCCTGGGGGCTGGGTAAGGGAGTCCTGGAGCAGGGCCTAGCCCAGGCCCTGAAGTTCAGCCTCAGACTTGGCATGGCCCAGGGGCCGGAGAGTCCGCAGGGGCCTGCCCTCAGGCCCACTGTCCTGCTCCTCGTAGGTGGGGTTCCGGCGGCCCATGTCGAGGGGACAGAAGAGGCTGCGCTCAGTCCCAGAGTGGCTCTCCACCAGGGCCTCCAGGCTGGGGAACTCTGCAGGCAGGTGCTGGGGAGGAAGGGTCTTCAGCTCCAGTTCCCTGCCCCAGGCTCACACCAGTGCCCTGCCCCCCAGGGACCCATTTTAGAGAGCAAGAAATCAGAGCTTCGAGCTATGATGTCATGGCAGGGCCAGACACCACTTCCTCTCTCTTCCCAACCTGGGAAGGACTGAGGCATTCATCTTGGAAGTATGAGCACACGTGTGAAAAGCCTCACTACCCCATCCCAGAGGCTGTGTGAGTTCAGGCAAGTCCCTGTCTTCTCTGAGTCAGTATCCCCCTCTGTTAAAGATGGGCTATGGTGTGGGAAAGCAAGGCAGGCAGAGGAAGGGGGTGGAAAGTGGGATTAGGGTGGGGCCAGAGAAAGTCAAACAGGATGTGAGGTAGACTCAGGAAGTCACCAATTAGGAAAAGGTGGGGCATCATGGCAAGAGGCAGAGCCAGAGATGGGACAGGGCAGGGACAGGGGCCTCCTTCTTACCTCTAGACAGTAGCGGCCCAGATGGTTCCGGAAGATCTGGTGGGGCACCACCCCGCATTGCGTCCTCACAGACAGGCACCACTGGCCATTGGTGCCTGGCTCAGGCCACAACAGGAAGGCTCCTAGCACGTCTCTCCGTAGCAGGGCCAGTGCGCAGGGCCTGGGGTGCAGAGCAAGAGGCTGAACTTAGAGCCCTGCTCTGGTCTCAGCCCCAGGCTGCTGCTTTGGGGAGGGACAGAACCCCAATAGCACGGAGGCAGCCTGGGAAGTAATAAATGCCTTCCACATGCAGCGCCTGGCTGGGCTGCGTGGTGCAGGCCTATGATCCCAGCTACTCAGGAGGCTGAGGCAGAAGGATCAGAAGATTGAGGCCAGTCTCAGCAACCAAGTGAAACCCTGTTCCCCGAAAAAAGAGAGGTGAAGTCTGGGGATGTCACTCAGTGGCAAAGCGTCCCCAGCCTGATCTACCCCCCAACTCCAGAAAAAAGAAAAACAAAAAACCACAACAGTACTTGGCCCAGAGTTGCTAGTCAATGAGAAGGAGCTCTCAGGAGCTCAAAGATTCCCCAGGGGTCCTCTGAGACCCCATCAGGAGAGAGGTTTAAAGAGCTGACTTCTAGGAAGAGGCTGGCCTGTGACAGGCCTGAAGTCACCAAAGCCAGGTCATTCTGCCCACTCACAGGGCTGCACACATGTCATGGTCTGCAGGGGCCCCCTGCCAGTTCTCTGCCCAACCCAAGGAACTGGACATTAGGCCAGGCCAGTTCCCTCCTACCTGGAGATGCCAGCAAAGGCCCAGATGTTCTCTGTCAGGCTGCCCTCACTCTCCACCAGGCACGAGGGACCACCAGGAGTGCGGGGCCATGCCTCCCATGCAGCAGGAACTATGGAGACCACCCAGGGGTCAAAGGGACAGTGGCCAGATCTCTCCATGTCCGTCGGCCTGCCCAACCACTACAGGTCCTCTCCCCATCATCTGTCTCCAAACCAAGCCTCCCTCCCCGAGCAACAGGTGCACACCCAGCCCCCTGCAGACACCATAGTCCCACTCACACCCACTCCCCAGTTAAAGTTCACACCACCCTGCAAGCCCAGAGGCACACACACACCCAGGGACCCACATGCACACGCACTCATACACAGGCCTCCATGGGGTACAGCCACAGCCTGGCAAGAGCATGCAGGCACTGGCCTCCGCCCGCCCTRGGGCACAGGGGCAGGGGCACTCCCACAACTCACAGGCCTCCSGAGCCGACAGCTGCAGCTGTGTCTCATAGGTGCAGGCTCGGTAGGCCCCGGAGCGGATCACCTTGCTGCGAATGGCCTTCTTGCGCACCAGCGTGGGCGAGCAGTAGGGATTCCCCAGGCGGGCATGGCGGGCACCCCCACGGCCTTCGGACTCTGGCAGCTCCTTCTAGGGCACCAAGAGGGGCCCATGGGCAGACAGACTCAGGCCCAGCCATGCCAGGTCAGGCAAACCACCGCTAGTCCAACACACCCCCCCCCAGCCCTTGCCCAGCTCCCTTGCCCTAACCCGCAACCCCTGGGCTGGGGGCTGCATACCCCACCGCCACCCACTGGCCCCTCAGCAGGCAGCCGCCGAAAGGAGACGAGAGCATGGACGTTCTGTGAGAGCTGATCACGGCCGAAGGGCTCCCGCACCATAGCAGGGGGGCCCCCAGGGCTGGAGAGTGGCTTCAGGGACACGTCCCCTGCAGGCCCCGGGCAGGGCTCAGGCTGCGCCCTCTCCTCCGGGTGCTGCAGGAGGTAAGCAAGCTGGAAGGAGCGGCAGAGCAGCAGGTGCAGGATCTGGACCTGAGGAGGGGGAGGGGCGCAGCTGGGAGAAGCCTCCTGGGGTGCACCTCGGCATGAGCCACCCACAGTCCAGGGCTAGGGAGCCCCTTGCCCCTCGCTGTTCTTCCTGGGAAAACTCCTCCTAATCCCTTAGAACCTCACCACCAAGCAGCCTCCCTACCAAGAGCCCCATTCCTTTAACAAATAGGGGCACTTACCATGGCAAGGTGTCACTCATGCTGGGAGCAGGGGAGATGACGGTGGGCTACATGCACCTCCCCAAGGTACCATCCCTCCCCATAACTGCCCCAGCCCCTCTCAGAGCAATGAGCAGGGCCTGGGTTTTGATTTAAGCCTGCAGCTCCCGTGACCCAGGGCAGGACAGGGCGCTCTGTGTGCCTCAGTTTCCTCATCCCCACCYCCTGCGCTCCTCAGAGGAGCTAGAGAAGTGAGCTCCACACATCCCACCCACACTCATGCCAGCCAGACCCAGCAAGCTGGCACCGTGAGCTTCAGCTACATGTCACCCCACTATTCAGCACAGGGCTTGACATTCAGCGGTAACAGCGAAGCCTTGATGGATGGACCCAAACCCGGCCTCGACTGGCCAAACTGGCTGTCACAGCTCTGTCACACTACGGCCACGCTGGCTTTGACTTCCCAGACCTCCTGCCTAGTGCTCACCCTACCACCCGCCCAGGGCCATGCCCTGGGACAGTGAGACCCGGACCAAGGCGCTGCTTTCAAAGAACTCAAATGTCTCTAATTAGTGACAGCCGGCAGCTGGAGTGTGGTCCTGCCGCAGGACTCCACAGGAAGAGCCATGCAGAGGGGTGGAGGTGGGCAGAGCCCTAAAGGTGAGTGGGGTGAGAAAGGAGGGGCAAGCCCTCCAGGCAAGGAGGGCGGCATGAGCAAAGGCCTGGCCAGACCGCCCATCTCCAAGAGCAAGGCCCCTGACTGGCCTTAGAGGGTCTTCAGTGGGCAGAGCCAAAGCAGGAGCCAGTGTGGTAAGGTTGGAAGGCTCCCTGGAGGGGAGCCAATCCCCAAAGGCCTTTGTCCCTGAAACCTGCCCTGGCRCTCAGCACAACCCACTCAAGCCTCAGTGGTGTCCCTGCCCCAGCCCGGGCCCGATACCTCTCCAGGCTGGCTGCCCACAAAAAGGTGGCAGAAGAGCTTGCTGGCGGGGCTGCGTGGGTTCCGGGCGATGAAGGAAAACTGGCAATTGGCAGGACACCAGGTGGAATAGAGGATGCGTCTCAGGGCATGGGCCATCAGGAGCACCTGGACAGGCAGAGCAGGTGCCGGGCCTCATGAGACCCCACCTGGGCAGCAGTGGCCAGTCCTGGGGCCCCACACACCACCTACCCTTAGCCTGCACCCTAGGGCAGGGCCACCTGCTCCTGGGGTACCGGCCTTCACTCCTTGCAGGCCCACCCTATAGCACCCTCACGTGGTATTGGGCTTGTCCCAGTTGCAGACCCGTAGGTTGGGATCATGGCCCCTATTTTATGGAACCCAGAGGCAGAGCAGTGATCTCCTGCCAATGGTGTGGTGGCCAGCCCTGGGTTGCATGCCTGGGTCACACTTGGCCATGTGACAGTGAATGAACCCTGGCTCTGCCACTGGTTCTCCGTTTAAGTGCAGTCCTCTGAGCATCTCCTGCTAGGACCCCTCTGATGGGCTGCTGATAGGTATAGGGAAGCCCATGCAAGCGACACAGGACCTAACTTCAGGAGCCCGCAACACCTGGCTCTGGGACTCCATGCTCACCACGACCTTAGGTGAGAGGGACTGCAGTTGTGAGGTAGGGTTCTGGGGCACAGGCACCCAAGCAGGGGTTCCTGCCATCTCCAGCTGAGATGGGCCCCTTCTGCAGCCACAGGAGGGTGTCCAATACCAGGCATGGTACCTACCAAAACCTCATGGGATAATGTCCCTGCTTTGGGCCAAAAGGTGGCCCCCAAAGGAGATTTTGGAGGGCCAGGGATGAGAAACTTGCCAGAGCTTGACTCTGGGGACAGGCCCTTGAAGAAAGAATGTCCAGCTGGACGTGGTGTCGCACACCTGTAATTCCAGTGGCGTGGGAGGCTGAGGCAGGAGGACTGCAATTCAAGGCCAGCCTCAGCGATTCAGCCAAGCCCTAAATGACTTAGTGAGATCCTATTGCAAAATTTAAAAAAAAAAAAAAAAAAAAAAAGGCTGGGGATGCGGCTTAGTAGTTAAGTACCCCTGGGTCCAATCCCGAGAACCAAAACCAAAAAAAGAAAGAGTGCTCAAAGGCAGAGCAAAGGGGAACACAAGGGGCCCCCAGAGGAACTCTCCAGGGCTGAGCTGAGGCCAGGGCAGGTGGTGGCAAGCTTGTCCTGAGAGAGGAGACACCTGTCCCTGTTGAGTTCTCACCTGACCCTCTTGAGCTCCTACCTCTCCTTCCCCGCTGTAGACCTTGAGGCCCTGAAGGCTGAACTTCAGGATGACGGCGCGGCGACGGGGACAGTCCTGGGTGGAAGAGTGTTGGTGGGAGAAGCTGTCACCTCCCAGGCTTGGCCCTGCTCAGTCACATCCACCAAGGCCTGCTCAGCCAATCCACCCTGTCTGCCAGGTGACAAAGCTCCAGGCGACGGATGCCCCAGAAGGGAGAGAAGTGGGGATACAGAACACCCCCAGGCAGGCCACAGGTGGTCACTCACGACCACCTCCCCTGTCTACTGGCTGTGGCCTCGAGCTGCAGGGCCAGGGGAAGGAACTCACTGGGCATGAGGGACAGAGCTTTGGGAGCCTGGCTGTGGGTAGCCACTGGGCCACCTCTCAAGTCCCTTTCATCCTGCCCCTCTGTGGGCCTCACATGCCCTCTTTATGACTGGGGAGGGGCTGGATCTAGTCTCAGGGCTTGTTCCCAGTCTGACATCCCAAGACTGTGATCCTTACCAGGGAGGTGCCTCCTTGTCCCCATCCCCCTCACCTTCAGGGCCCACAGCCATTGCTGCACCAGCCACACGCTGTCCTGGGTGTCCAGGTCATCCACAGGGAAGGAGCCCACGTACTGTTTGGTGAGGGGGCAGGAGGAGGCAAGGCAGGGGAGTCAGGCCCACAGCTCCTGACCCCATCCTCCAAGGTCTCCCTCCCTTGGCCCACTGCTCTGCTAGGCAAGCCATGGGCCGTGACAGAGACCCAGGCTCTGCTGCTCTCCCATTCAAGCCCTCTGAGGGCCCGACTCCTCGTGTGTGTGCACACACATCGMAAAGCCTGGGTCAGGGAAGGAGACGGGGAAGCAGGTCCTTGACCCCAAGCTCCTCCCCACCCCCAGGGCCTGTCCCCAAAGACTTCCCACCAGGGCACACCTGGAGGGAGCAGCCCACCCACCTGGGCAAACTTGGTGATGCACCTGGGCCGGTAAGGGGCAGGCCCGCAGTCGGAGGCCCTCCGACCCCCTGCCCCAGCCCTCTGCATGGCCCCCAGGATGCCCAGCTTCAAGCTTCACGGAGACAAGGCTGCAAAGGGCAGGGGAGAAAGTTGGTTTCCAAGCAGGTAAGGCAAGTGCCCCCATCAGAGGCCCCGAGTTCACCCTGGGGTCATTTATTCCACAAATCCTCACTGAGTTCTTGCTATGTGCTGACAGTGTCCTGGGCCCTGGGAACACAGCCCTGAGAAGAATGATGAAACCTGCCTGCCTTCACGGCGCCYGTTCTCATGGAGAGAAAGCATTCAAACAGCCTTGTGGCCCGCTCACAAGTTGCATGGCCAGAGCTGATGAGGCTGGGGACCTGCTTCTCAAGTCCTGGCTCATTTGGCCCAGCCTGATTCCAGCCCYTTCCCAAAGCACCTGGCCACATTGAGATCACAAACCCAGAACCCAATCAGGCCACGCACTCAAGCTGAATCAGGACCTGGAGAAGGTGGACAATCATCCAGGGGGCTGCGGCGCATCACCCTCTTCCCATCCCAGGTTCTGGTCTTTCCTTGGGCTCACGGCCCAGATCCACTAGTGGGCAACAAAGTAACTTCCCTTACCAGACTGCTCAAGGGACAGTACCTGTTTCCCATTAGAGCTCAGAATCCCAGCTGGTGCTCAATAACTGTGGCATCAATGCCTCCGCSTCCCAGTGGTTGCAAGAAAGCGCGGCCGAATGCCTCTGCCAAGGCCTCCCAAGGCCTCAGCTCTGTCCAGAGTTTCCTGAGGCCAACTTAGAACCTCCATCTGCCCCCATTCCGGCCAGTTCTCTCACTAGCCAACTTGTAACCACTGACTTGGTCAGACAGCTCCTGATCCAAATCTAGCGTGACTTCRGAAAAGCTGCCTCACCTCCTGAACCTCCATTTTCTCATCCACAAACCTGGGATAATGAGAGGTACCCATGAGAGCTCAGTGCTGGGCAGGTACCAAGCACAGTGCCAGCCAGGCTTGGAGCTGATGCTCAACAACGTGGTCACAGGGGATAGGAACACCAAAAACTGCTGTTCTGGAGGAAGCTTAAGAAGACTACAGGGTCTGGTAACTTTTAGTTGCCTCCTTGTCTGGGCCCCACTGACAGCAGAGCTTGGGGTCTGTGAGAGCAAGACAGAGGCCAGCCTGGAGCTGTGACTCCCACCAGGAGACAGGAGAAGTCAGACAGGACCTGGGCAGGGAGGGGCATATCCTAGGTGTGCTGCAACCCAGCTTTGCAAGTGCCTGGAGAAGGAGGGTTTGGGTGCTGCCGGACAGAAGCTCTGTGCCAAGAGCCCAGGTACCTGCCTATGACCTTCAGCTCGAGGCTCAGGCTAGTACACAGAAGCCAACAGCCATCTACCACTTTCAATGAGCAGCCAGCACAGGAAGAGATGGAAAATAAAGGCTTCGTTGTGCCTTTGAAGCCTCCCAGGTCTCCCCATACCACCCCCCTCCTGCTTCTCTGGGCTGTCACACCCTTTGCTTTCTGATCCATCATGTCCTTTTTCACATCATGTCCTTTCTCTACTGTACTTTTGATGTTTAAATAAAGCAAAGTTAGATGTGCAACTGGCTCTAAAGCCACGTGACGACTGTTCCAGGTAAGGAGGGGGGCAGGGCTCCCAGTGAAGCCACTCTTTAACCTCATAATCACATCACAGGGCTGGACCACAAAATAAGCATGGGAGGGGGCAGTGGATAGAGAGGCCACAGCTACAGAAGTGGGAACAGAGCAGGTGAGAAGACAAACAAAAGCAAGAGACAAAGGAGAGCTTTGGGAGGGAGCAATCAAACACACACTTCACACCCTGCCCCTGCCACCTGGTGGTCCCTCTGGCACTAAGYGTGAGAAGAAAGAGCCACAAGGGTTAGCACACTCACACGCAGAGACAGCTAGCTCTGTCTAGGGCTGCACACAGCCTCCTCCCTCCAGATCCAGAGCCGCAGTTTTCAGTGTTCCCAGTGTCCCCCAGTGACAGGGGTGGGAAGGTCAGGTCACAGGCTCTCTACTGCCCACCCCATCCACCATTAGTCCCATCCTTACCTGTCCCTCTGGTCCTCAGCTTCCTTGGAAACAGTTTCTCCCTTCCTCACCTCCTTCCCTAGCCTCAGGGCATTTCAACTGGAGTTGGGAGGATCCCAGAGGACCAGGGTGGGCACCAGTCTCATCCTAACCCTGGAAATGGACCTGTTCACCCATTTCAGGTACAAACACCCACTTCTCTTTGAACCAGAGTTAAGTTTTACACAGGCGCCTGGTAAAGAGACATTTGGAATGAGTCTGGGGCTCTCCTCTTGCTCTTCTGAGGTGGCCCTGCTTAGAAATGGACAGGGAGCTGGACAGGTTGATCTGCTTCGTTGTCAAGCACTGGGTGCTCTGAGCTCAGCCGACGGTGGTCCAGGAAGTCAGTCACTTGCCCAAGGTCATATAGCACAAAAAGGGACACTGGGAAGCAAAACCAGGACACTGTCCCTAGGCCACGGTACCCTTCTATTGACTCCCCTCATCCACATAAACAGGGTGTCCACCCCTGCAGTTTAGTGGGTCCCAATCTGCCCAGCAGGTGAGTCAAGGAAGCAGTCACAGGGGCAGGGGAATATCTTAGGTGCTGGGGACAGATATGACCAACAGAATGGCTGCTGCCCCTCTGGCTATGTGCCAGATGGCCTGAGTTTGCCCCAAGGACTTCAATCTCCTGCCTGGTTCCCACTGCTCCAACACACTGCTCCAACAGCGCCACTTGCCCTGGACTGTGCTGCAACCACTGAAATGGTTTGAGGTCCAACAGGGTCAGCTGATGTGACCTTATCAAGTCCCTTAGCCTCTCAACTTCCAGTTCCCCAGCTGTGAAGTGAGAATCATTATAGGGGCCCCCTCCTGGGGCTGTTCATTGACCTATTCCTCCTGAGAACATTTCCAAGCATCAACCATGTGCAAGGTGGACAGAAGTCCCAGGCCTCACAAAGCACCAAGTTGGGGTGAAGAGACGACATTCAGTGAGGGATCGAATAATTTGAAGAAAAACATTCAGTGGCGCAAAGAGGAGGAGATGTTATTTAATACGGCGCGGTCGAGGACGGCCTCCCTCAACAGAAGACATCTGAGAGGAAAGTGCTGCCCGTGGGGGCTCGGGGCCAGCCCCCTGGAGGAGCTGAGCGCTCCGCAGCGTAGGCTGTGACCTCAGGTTGCTATTGTCGCTCCTACGGAGCACGGCCAGCCTTTCGGCCCACAGCCCACAGGCGGGGCAGAAAAAGTCCTCAGGCCAAGGAGCCGGAGGAGACACGGTGGAGGTGACGGAAACGCGCGACGGACGGAGGCGCCGGGTGCTTCTCGCTCTCCGAGACCCTCCGCACCTCTGCGCCCCGGACCCACCCCCGCCCCCCAGCTSCCGGCGCTCACTCACTGCGGCCGCAGCTTCTCGAGTTCCGAGTCCCTGCAGCTGCGTCCCGCGGTCCCCTCCGCTTAGCCCTGCGCGTCTCTGGAGCCGCGGAGTCCCGGGCCCGCCCCGCCCCTGCCACCTCCGCGCCGCGCGCCCCCCACGTGGCCGCGGGAACGGACCCCCAGCATCACCAATCGGGGCCCGCGATGCCGCTCCGCTCGATCGCGCAGACCAATCAGAAGCCGCGAGGGTCCCTGGCGCCGCCCACGTCGACTCGCGCTGGGGCGCTCCGCGTTAAAGGGCCGGGGGATGGGGGCGCTGTCCCTGCTCGCCGAGGGCGCCTCTGCCTGGGCTAGGGTTGTCATCCAGATGGCGACTCTCCAGCCTCAACCGAAAAGCCGTCCCTGACCCGGGCCAGTCTTCACTCACTGCACAGAGCCCTTCGGCGCTGGACAGAGCCGGCTCTCAGTAGGCGTTTTGTGATGGTGGTTTTGACCCGGCCTTCCTGGGCAGCTGGACCAGTCTCACCTTCCCTCTGCCCCAAGACAGCCGGGGGCAGGGGTGTCGGGCATCCTCTTCCCGGCTGGCCGTTCTCATAAGAGGATTGACTGACCCTGTCCTTTGAGTTACAGGGAAATCCACTTAGATGAGGAAGATGGGAAAGCGAATCCAGCCAGTGTCAGCCACGGCGCTGAGCGGGAGAGCGTTTTTGTTTGCATCAGGCCAGGCTCCCTGTAGGTGCCAAAAATTAAAGAGCAAATTCGAGTCAACCAAGCCTTTGGGGCGTATTAAACCTGAAATCTGCAGAAAACGCCGTAAACTGTCCATGTGCCACACCAAGGAAAAGCCAGGACACAAAGGTCCAAAGCCTGCGTGCCCCTGCAGAGGCAGAGGCATCCCGTAAGAGAGGCCAATTTGGGAAATTGGATCTGGGTCTAGGGACGTTGGGGTCCGGGCAGGTTTGAGCCACTCTGGCCATACTAGGCATTCCCCTTGTCTCCTTGGGCACCTGGAAACCCTGCCAGAGGCCGCAGTGAGATGTAATTGTCCTGGCATGTTCCACATCTAGGCACTTCCTTTTTCTAGAAGTGGGGTCTTAGGCAAACACCTTAATCACTTTGATCCTCAGGGGCCTCATCTGTAAAGTGGTGTTACCACCCTGACTCACAGCCATGTAAGGATTCAGAGGAGTTAATGGGGGCAAAAAGCTGGCACAGCACTGACGCATGGTAAGYGAAGCCCTTAGCAAACACTAGCTGATATTAGGCTTTGCTTTTATTCTTGAGTCTCTTTTGTATGTGACTGAACAGCAAGGGTTTACTGAATCCATGTGTCAAGTGGCCTCACCACTGCCAGCCCCCAGCCTCCAGCTCAGGACCTAGAAGGAACAAGGTTTGTTTGTAGGTTGGTCTTGCTCTCAGAAAATCCAATTTATGAAACTCAGAAACTCAGAAGTTAAAGGGACAATTCCTTTTACTCTTAAAAAAAACAAAACTCACCTCTACAACTCTTTTTTTAAAAGCATGTAAAATTTAAGAGGTCACACTAATTACTAAATCCATTGTCCCTCTTTTGAGACTATGTAGAGAAAGCAAAACAAGGAACTGTTATTAAATACCAACACCAACAAGTTTCTGATACATATAATTCACTCAGATACAAGCAATTCTAAAAACAATGACTGGAATTTGTTTCAGGTCAAAATGACAAAATCCAAGGAATTAAATTCAGTTGATAAAAGAGCTAAACCCAGAGGGAGAATTTTGCCTTTTAAGTCTTTTTTCAGATGGAGTGGCAGGCACTGTGCTAGGTCCCAGTGACACAAATTTACAACAGAACATAAAATACCACAAAAGTCCTATGTGGAAAAATAAATGCAGCCGGGTGCAGTGGTGCACGCCTGTAATCCCAGCGRCTCACGAGGCTGAGACAGGAGGATTGCGAATTCAAAGCCAGCCTCCGCAATTGACCAAGACATTAAGCAGCTCAGTGAGATCCTGTCTCTAATAAAACACAAAATAGGGCTGGGGATGTGGCTCAGTGGTTGAGTGTCCCTGAGTTCAATCCCTGGTATCCTCCCCCAAGTAAAAGTACGTTAGAGGTATAAGCTCAAAGGTTTATGTTGAAGTTGAACTTCAGTGATGTCAGTCATCTGTCTCCTGGGCAAGCCAACCTAGTTCCGCCCAGGCCAGGCATATGTATCTAAATCTGCCATTCATGGCAGAATGGCTCTCAAGAGCCACTGCTTCAACCATTGGATTAATGACTCACCTTGTGCAGGAAGCCCAAAGGAGTTTCCCATATTAAGCAGGGAAGGGAATGACAAAAAAAGGRAAGATGGGGTGGGGTAAGAGTCATGATTGCACACGTTAGCACACACGCCATGTCATGGTACTTCCTGATGAGTCAACAATTACTAAACCTCACAGGTGTGAGCTTGCTATCATAATCTTCGTTTCTCTCTCAAATCCCGGACTCTGGCACTGGAATTGCCAGCTGACGAATGTGAGTGGGAAGCAGCAGCACATCAGTGAGAAGCTGATCTCCAACAATAGGACTGGGAATTGGAGCCAAGAGAGTGCGGGCCTGGGCCCAGCAGCAGCTCCTGCTCATCCACTGTGCACAGCACACGCTACTGCCTCCGTCCCCCTGGTAACTCCCTCTTCTGATGACAGTAACTTTCSCCTTGAGCACAGCCATTCTGTTCTCCTAGGAGCATCCTGATGGCTATCTCTGCAACTTACCCCCAACACTGTCCCCCTAAAATAGGTGATGCAGATCACTGATGTTTTAAATTAGGGGTTGAATGGTGTCCCTTCTCCCCCAAATCCATACATTGAAGTCCTAACCTCCAATATCTTGAAATTTAACCACAGAGGTTTTTAAAGAATTAAATTAGGGCTGGGGTGTGGCTCAGTGGTAGAGTGCTTGCCTCGCACGCAGGAGGCACTAGGTTTGAGCCTCAGCACCACATAAMTGTAAAATAAAAATATTGTGTCCACCTAAAATTTTTTTAAATGATTAAATGAGGTCATCAGTGTGGGTCTGAATTTGATATTATTGGTGTCCTTATAAGAGGAAATTTGGACATTAACCGGCACAAAGGGAAGGCAATGTGACGATGGGAGAAAATGGCCATTTGCAAACCAAGGGGAGAGGCCTGGAACAGACCCTTCCCTCAGGGACTCAGAAAGAACCAACCCTGCGGGTCCTGTTGTCCTGGACTTCTGGTTTCCAGAACTGTGAGACCATGAGTATCTGTTCRGAGTGGAGTCTCTTGTGCTTGTTAAGGCTGACTGAGCAAACTGATACAGTGACTAATACTGACTCCTCTTCTTTCCTCCTCCTCCTCCTCCCCCCCTCCCCTTCTCCCTCTTTCCCCACCCACTCTTCCCAGTACTGGGGATTGAAACCCCGACACTTTACCACTCAAGTTTTATTTTCAGAGTCTCAGTAAGTTGCCCAGGCTAGCCTGGAGCTCGCGATCGTTCTGCCTCAGCCTCCCGAGCAGCTGGGTTACTAGGTGTGCATGACGACACCCAGCAAGCTGGTAACATTTAATGGAGTTTTAAAAAAATTGCATATCAAGTAGTTTCAATTCTCAGTGAAGCCCTGCTCTACGTCCACACTGAAAAAAACCAGCTGAGGCTCCATATGTGGCCCAGGAGGCAACTGGTGACTGCCTAGACCTTTGGTGGCCGCAGCTAAGAAGCCCACTTGGCTTCTTTCTCTTCCTGGCTCCCTGGCTTTTTATTATCTTTTAATTGACACATAGTAGTTTCATATGGGGTACAATGTGATATTTTGATACATGTATACAATATGTAATTAATTATCAAATCAGGACCATTGGCATATGTACTACCTCTAATATATCATTTCTTTTCAAAATCCTTTTCACTAGCTATTTTGAAATGCACAATGTTTTTTAACTATGGTCACCCTGCTGTGCTATAGAACCCCAGGCATATTCCTCTAACTGCATCTCTGTCCCCAACAACCACCTTCCCCAACCTGTTGGCCTCTACTTCTACTTCTATAACTTTTTTAAGCATCCCACATAGGAGAACATGCAGCATTTGTCTGGCTTATTTCACCTTACATAATAATGTATAATGTCCTCTCTAATCATGTTGCTGCAAACAACAGATTTTATTCTTTTTTATGACTAGTATAGTGTGTACATACCACTATATCTGTTGATGGACACCTCAGTTGACTCCATATCTTGGCTGCTGCAAATAATGCTGCAATGAACATGGGAGCGAGGGGATGTCCTTGACATCTAGCTGGATCAGATAGTAGTTTTTAGGGCTGGTTGATTGTTTTTGGTTTTGCAGTGGAACTGAACCCAGAGGTGCTTTACCACTGAGCTTCATCTCCAGTTCTTGTTCTTTTCTATTTTGAGACAGGGTCTCACTAAGTGGCCCAGACTGGCCTCAAACTTGCACTTTTTGTGCCTTGGCCTCCTAAACTTCTAGGATTACAAGCATGCACCACCATACCCAGCTAGGGTTTCTTGAGACTGGGTCTCACTGTTGCCCAAGCTGGCCCAGGTTCAAGGGATCCTTATGCCTCAGCCTTCTGAGTAGCTAAAACTATAGGTGCATGTAGTTTTCTGAGGAGCCTCTGTACTGTTTTCCATGATGGCTGTACTAATTTACAATCCCAATAGTATAAAAGAGTTGCCCCTTTTCTCCATCCTTGCCAGCATATATAGATAGATAGATATCTGTATTGACAACTGTATATTTATTTCTATCTATCTATTGATCGATTGATCTATATAGACTTTTTGATCATAATCTAATTGGGGTAAGTTCTCATGTTTTGTGGAGTTTTTTTTTTTTTTTTTTTGTACCAGGGATTGAACCCAGGGGTGCTTAACTACTAAGCCACATCACAGCCTCTTCACTGAGACTCAGTCTCACTAAGTTGCTTAGGGCCTCACTAAACTGCTGAGGCTGGCCTCAAATTTGCAATCTTCCTGACTCAGCCTCCTAAGCAAATGGGATTATAGGCATGCACCACCTGCTTGCTCACTGGATTTTTAAATTCAGTGCTGTGTTTATTTCTTCTTTCCCCCCCGCCTTTCTTATCTTCTAATAGGTAAGTTCCTAACAATGTTTATTTTCTCCAGGCTTGGTGGTACATGCCTCTAATTCCAGTCAACCAGGAAACAGAGACAGAAGGATTTCAAGTTTGAAGTCAGCCTCGGCA